CATCCCTGAAAGTACCAAGACCAGCAAAAGCAAAATCACAAGATGATAGAAAACAGGGACTTGGGGAAAAGTGATTTTTAAATATAAAGATTTCAGGAAGCATGACTTTGGAAACACACCTGCTTCTCCTAGGAAGCTTCCTCCAGACTCCCCTTCTTCAAGTTGATTATTTTGTGACCTATTATGGAAGAGTCTCCCACAATTTTATATCATATTACATGCTTATATCATGTGTGAAAAACTAAAACTCACTGCCATTGGGTTGATTCCAACTCATGGCGACCACCAGTGGGTTTCCAGGCTGTGAATCTTTATGGAAGTAGATTGCCCCATCTTCCTTCCATGGAGCAGCTGGTGGGTTTGAACCACTGACCTTCTGGTTAGCAGCCAAACATCTTATCTACTGCACCACTAGACCACCTTTATATCATGTATGTATGCATTTATATTATGCATATATGCTTTCAGTCCTTATTGGATTGAAATGGAATGTTTTTTGTGATTAGATTTTCCCAACATTTAGAGAATGCTTCTGTGCCTGACTAGTCTTTTCACCCATGATGACAGCACTTATGCACACATTTTTCGTGGGAATGACATTCTATCAATATATGAAGAGTGAATTGTACATAGTTCACTCCTCCCTTCTCCCAAAGGCCCACCAACCAGGTTTACAGAAAGAGCAAGGACTAATTACTGATAAATTCTTCAGTTTAAGGGTACTAAGGTGAAAAACAAACATCAAAGCATTATATAGATTTTAAATCATATGGATGTTGATTTGCATTAACTCACGACTGCAGTTGCCAATGTATTGATTGGAAAATGATGTGCTCATATTCTATAAAGTACAAAATGTCTGATTTACTTCTCCTCACTTCTTCTCTACTGGTCCTTATTTCATTATGAAAGAAGGAATCTATGGTAAACCTAGGTTTCACTGAATAGCAGGGGCAGGTAACTAGGAAAAAAAAAATGAGGCCAAGGAAAATATGCCACTTGTCAATGCTCATTCACCTAAAACCACAAGTATATATTCTATTTTGTGAGGAGATTGTGTGGGTGAGTAAACATACGGATATGGGAACTTTTTTTCTTTTTTTTCTCTCCTCCAATCCCTGATAACCAACAAAGAAAGTTTCCATGTATAAATCTTTTCTTGACTTTTTATAAAAGTAGACTAATATAACATTTGTCCTTCTGTGATTGACTTATTTCACTCAGCATAATGTTCACATCATAATAAGTAAGCCAAAATGAGAGTGTTAATGGGTTTGAGGAGATGTGTCAATTTTACTCTTAAAAAAGAAAGAAAGATGATGTACTTTTAAAATCCAGTCCCTGACAATGGAGGTAGCCTAGACCTTCAGTTATCATGGGCTTAGTATTCAATGATCCTGAGGTGAGTCCTGCCTATGAGGATAGAAACATTATTTGTCTTCTCCATTGTGTCCCCAGCCCTTAGCACAGTGCCACCTAACATGGATGTTCCACATATATAGTTCAATGACTTGATGAACAACGAACCCTATTACCCACTCAATCTATAGCTTTCCCTATTGTCCACCATGTTGGCCTGATTTATACACTTGAGCTTCTGATTTTTACTTCATTCTCCTACTGACACTAGATATCTGCCCTCATCCCTCTCATTTTACCAAATCATCTACCTCTTACCAGCTTTCTCCCTTAGAGGTTGAACTCTGTTTACAGCATGTCCCCTTCTAAGAAATAGATCCTAATATTCACTTGCCTTTTGAATATCATTCATACTCTACATCTGTACCTCTTACACCTCACTCACCAAGTTTGAATTCATTGTCTATGGCATCCCTCATTGAGTGTGTGGTGTCTTCACCATTTCTTCAGGCAAGGTTGAAGGATGAATCCTATTCTTTGAAACTCTGTCATCTTCTTTCTCTTAGAAGCATCCTCAGCAAATATGAGTCATTGAGAGATCTATTAGTATTATTAATATTATAGAAATAATAATAGAACTTACAGTTGTTGTTGTTGTTATTTGCCGTTGAGTCGGCCCTGACTCATAGTGACCCCTCCTTGGGTTTCCGAGGCAGTATCACTACGGAAATAGGATTGCCCAACCTTCCTTCCAAGGAGTGGCTGGTGGGTTTGAACTGCCAGCCTTCTGGTTAGCAGTCAAGTGCCTTAGGCACTATGCTACCAGAGCTCCCAGAACTTACAGTATACACAAAAAAATAGTACTTTTCAGGGTTTAGAATAAATCAGAACATGAACCCCAATGTAAGGTGACCCTAGGCAATGTTTGAATTGAATTTCCTCCATCTTTCCCTATCCCTTCCTTTATCTCCAAATATTTCTAGGTTCTTGTTCATATTCTTGGTTGACATTCTACTCAAGGATACTGGCTTTGATCTACTCACTTCTATCAAGTTGATTCTGACTCATAGCGACCTGTATTGGGTTTCTGAGACTGCAAATCTTTATAGAAGTAGATTGCCCCATTTTCCTTTTGTGGACCAGCTGGTAGGTTTGAACAGCTGACCTTATGGTTAGCAGCCAAATGCCTTACCCACTACCCTACCAGAGCTCCTTGGCTTTGATATAGTATCCTAATTTACCCAACTACCTTGCTTTCAAAATAGCCTATGTAACATTCTCAGGAGAGTTCTATTAGGAGCTCCAGTGGTGCAATAGTTAAGTGCTTGGATCCTAACCAAAAGGTAGGCAATGAAACCCACCCAGCTCCATGGGAGAAAGACCTGGCAATTTGCTTCTATAAAGATTATAACCAAGAAAATCCTATGGGGCAGTTCTACTCTGTTATATGCAGTATCTATGAGTTGGGATTGACTCAATGGCACACAACTACAATAGGGTAACTAGCTGATGAATGACAAACATTTAAAACATTTCTGCTATTGAGCTGAACTGAATAGGATACTAATGGGAGGTCCTGACATCTTTGTATCCTATGACACTTGATATCATTAAAGCTGTCAGAATTTTCCCCAAGAGATGAGAAATGAAAAGATGGTAATTTGGACTTGCAGACTGTTTTATATGACTTAAAATCTTTGTTAAAAAATTGATTAGTTGCCAACATTTAAAAATATGAAGATATAAACTTCCAGCTTTGGGCTTTTCATGACATATCAGAATAGAGTGACACTGGGTTCTTCATGGCAACAAATAATGGTGACTGAGGAGCATCTGGCTTCTTTACAAGGGGAAGCTGCGTCGAGGGTACCAGCATCCCTGCCTGTACTGCTTTATTTTTTGATGTCACCTTTCCGGCTCCTTTAGCATCTAAGTTTGTGGCCCTTATTGAACTCACTGAAATAATCTAATTAAAACTTTATTTCATAACCAGTTTGTCCTGGGTAAAAAAAAATCCTGGACAGATGGTTTAAGGTGAACATATGTTGTTGACCTGTTTCTCTTATTTTATTAAGCATTTTTGCCAGCATTTTAAACAGTCTAATCATCTGTCATAAAATATAACTGGAACAGCGATTTATAAGGGGATAATGTAGACTTCCCTTGAGCTGTTTATTTTTAAATTCCAACTGAAAGCTACCTTGAGGCTTGATCTCTGGTTCAAGGTATAATTTTCCCCACTCAGTAACTGTGAGTTCCAAGCATGTTCCAAATTTCAGGTCTGACATATTCCTGTGATGTAAAAATACTAAAAAAGACTTTCTGGTGTGGGATTTTTCCAACACAAATTTACAAAAAAAAAAAAAAAGAAAGAAAATGTTTCCCTTGAAATGTCACTATGAGTGACATGTTAGAGGTAAGAAGCCAGACACTTGAAGGCTTGTTGATGTTGGTGGTACCTACCAGCTTCTAGAATTTTCTGAAGGTTTCATACACCCTTCCTCTCATTCCTCAAGCGTAAGGAGAGGAATCCAAGACATAGATAAAATAGACCCAATGAGGGTTTTTTTTTTTTTTTTAGTGAATAGA